GTTACCTACTTATGAGTAGACTGTTACCTACTTATGAGTAGACTGTTACCTACTTATGAGTAGACTGTTACCTACTTTAACTTATGAGCAAACTGTTTTCTACTTATTATTCTTATGAGCAGACTGTTACCTACTTATTATTCTTATGAGCAGACTGTTACCTACTTATTATTATGAGCAAACTGTTTTCTACTTATTATTATTATTATGAGTAGACCGTTTTCTACTTATGAGTAGACTATTTTCTACTTATGAGCAGACAGTTACCTACTTAGAAGTAGACTATGACTGTTACCTACTTATGAGCAGACGGTTTTCTACTTATGAGTAGATTATTTTCTACTTATTATTATGAGCAGACTGTTTTCTACTTATGAGTAGATTATTTTCTACTTATAAGCAGACTGACTGTTATACCTACATATAGAGATGGAGGCTGACAAAATTTATTGGCCAGCCTGGCTGATACGAAATTTTTGGCTCAGTCGGTCATTCTAATTTTAGTAAATTTCCCTCAGTAACCCCTATTTAATAAAAATTTATCAGCTTAGTCAACCAGCTGAGTATACCTTATATAGTAAAGTTTTATCAGCCTGGGTCAGCCATAAACCATTTCAGCCAGGCCAGTCCAGCCACGGCTGACTTCTGTCTCTACTACTACCTACATACATCTATGTATTAATATAGTAATAGTCAAGTTTATATAGCGAAGATTGTACCCCTGATGGATTTTGACCAACTACTACTACTACTACACACGTGTTGATTAAAAGCATGTGTCTTGTTTCCTTTTTGTTTGTGAATATTGAATAAAGGTTCTTTGCGATACTTGTTTCCTTTTTGTTTCTTCGTTTTTTGAATGGTTTAATAAATTATAACTGAATCAAGAGGTTAGTTACTACATAAATTAGATTTGTCAGTAGAAATAATGTTTGAGTCATTTATTGTGAGAGCTGATGTTGAAATCCAGCTGAAGCTGAAACTAACCAATGGTATTACAGAATAAAATCTGATCAACCAATGAAAAGTCATAGTTTCAGCTTCAGCTGAATTTCAGCATCAGCCGTGACATTTATTATTATAAGAGAAGATTTATGCCATTTATACAGTATATGAACTTTACTATATTGAAAATTCTCGATATAGTGAATTTTCGATATAGTGAAGAAAAATCCCCATCCCGTTGACTTTATTATATCAAGGTTAGATGTACATACAATTCTCACAACATGTTCAATATATGGCCTTAATTCAACAGGAAAAATAGTGGTATTGCAATTGCTGGTGGTAGTGGTGGTGGCAGCTGCATATGCAGCATTAATATTGATTGATGCTGAAATCCGGCTGAAGCCGAAACCAACCAATGGGGTTAGAGAATAAAATCTGATCAACCAATGAAAGGTCATAGTTTCAGCTTCAGCTGAATTTCAGCATCAGCTGTGACATTTAATTGATACATTCAGCTGGGATTACAGCATTGGATGCCAATAACTGTTGGATAAAATTTTGCTGTGGTTGAGACAACATAAACATAGAGTCTGAGATGTCTTGAGAAGACTAAGTACATCGAGTCATTTACATTCTCTTCAATAAGTGCTTTGATGTTGTCATCATCTATATACTAATACTAATACAGTGGTGTGCAAAAAAAAGGGCAATTTCTAGCATTCTCTATAGTTTGTGTATAGGTAACTTCCCCAATTTTGGACTTGTTCATATCATGTAAAACAAAAACAAGAGCTTATTTTTAGTGTTATTTATTTTATGTAATATAAGTTTAATCACTTGACAACTTTGAGAATTATTCTACTACCAAATGGCTCCCATCTAAGCAAGAGCATTTCTAAAGCAATGATTCTGAAATATACTCACAGATAAAAATTCCACCTAAGACTGTGTACTGAAATCCAAAAAAAATTAATGAAGCTAATAAAGAGTAGCTCTGCTGATTCTGATCCCAAACAAAGCATTTTCACAATTTTCAAGTCCAGAGATTCAGATGTTAGTGTTGGCATAGTTGATGCCTCAGATTGTATCAGAGGAGTTAAGTTATTATGAGATTTTTGAAGTTTTTTTTCCTGGTTCCTTTCTCTTATCTTGCTATTAATCCTTTCCTTATGTATTGTTTCTACAAAATCTAGGATCTCAGCTGAATCATCATCGATGATATCTTGTGGTAAAGAAGGCTCCATTGAAGATTCAGATTGGGTTGAGCTATTACTATGTTCTATTTTAGGCAAGGGATTAGGAGTAATACCTTTCTCCCCATCAGAATGGCTCTCGATAAGTGGTGAAATATCTTTTGTAGGAGATGGCTCCTGTTTATTAGTAATAGCCTGCGTCTGTTTCTGTTCCAATTTCATGATTCTATTTTTAAGCTCAGTATTTTCTTCTGTAATCTGTTCCAATTTGGTGATCCTGGCTTTGAGCTCACATTTTCAGCTTCGCATTTGGTGCTCTCTTCCATAACTATAACCTGTTTTAAAAGCTTGGCATTCTTGGGTTCAAGCTCAACCTTTTCAGCTTCAAGTTCAGAAATTTGTTGTCTCAATGAATCAATCTTGGATTGCATGTTTTAGTAATAGTAAGAAATTATATATATCCTGTTATTTATTTAAAATGTGTATTAAAGCAACAAAAATTAATAAATAGGTATTTATCTGTGATGGACAAATTTTCCATTGCAAATATTGTACAATCGAATTGTTAAACATGAAAAAATAATTGTTTATACAATATGTAGTCTTTGAACAAAATCTTTATTAACATAAATGCCAATAGATTTATCTTGCTAACAGAAATTATAAATGTCACTCATTTCTTTTGCTTTTTTGATCGTTTTTTTTATCTATCAGGAGTTGGTGGATTTGGTGTTACTGCAAGAACCTTTCGCTTAGCAAACAATTTTTGCTGAAGATCTGTGATCAATTTTCGCTTTTCAGTATTTTCTTTCATAAAAGACTAAATGTAAAACTATTATTAGTATTAGTGAAGAATTGGAAAGAACTATACAAAGTTTTATTATACTCACAAAAAATTTTAAGCATATTGTAATTGCTTCAGATAGCACAGGAAGATCTTGCCAAAGATGCGGAATCTTGAAGCTTCCAAATTCACGTAAACAATATGTCTTTTGATGTATTGTACACCAATATAAAGATATTTTATTGCAGTAACCTAAAGCACCGAAACTAGCAAGATCTTTTTTATCCCATGTTCCATCATTAAGGTGAAAAATTATTCTTTGATTCAATATGTCACGCATAGTCCTAGTTAACTTATAATCATGAAGACAAAATTCTGTGAGATCGTCATAATCTGGAGGTCCTGTCTGTTCAAATAAAAAATTTTCTTCACGGTTCTCCCAGAGGCGAGCTAAACCATCTGCATGTTTTGCAGACAAAACCCTATCAACGAGTGGGTTAATGTTGGTATTCTGTCTACATTTACTGCTTTCAATTCAGTCACCGAACATTTCACGGGACTTGCAATTTCATATAAGGTTGCACAAAATAATTATTTGTTTTGATCTTGACAT